AAAGTTTGTGGCCCAGAACTTGCTGTCACGCCTCGGAACTAAAAGTTCTTACATAACGAGGTCCGGGCCTGGGTTTACTCCAGCGTCTTTGAAGAAAGGTAGAAGAGCTTCGGGGAAGTTTCTATCGTTTGGGAAACATTTAATGCTTCGATGACGAAGTCGTTACCAAGTTAGCTTGAGTGGCGGTAAAAGTTCCGGAAGTTGGATTTCAAATTAAAAGAAATACTGCGTCATTTGGATTGTAACTTGTGTTTCAACAGAAGGAAATGATTTTATTTTGAAAACAAGTGTCTCATTTGTGAAGTCGTCTGTAATTTAACTTGACAGATTCGTTCCGCCTCACTATGGTTACGGTAATCTAAATTCACCTGTCCCGCTGCTACCGTCGACGTCCTCGCGGCGGAGAAAGTCGCGTATTCATATCGGGATGGTGCAGATTCGTTCTGGTTGATGTACGGAAAGATTTATCAGCGTACTTTGTGTCTTCTTCCTTATTCTGGGATCTGGGTAGTCTGACAAGCCAGACTAAATACATTTATAATTTAACATTTGCAAAGGAAGTATTTGGTCTAGTTCACTACGCTAGGATCTGTGAGCTCCTATCAGTGAACACGTTATTCTGAAAAATAAAACAGTAAATATTTATAAAAGCTTTTTATTTTCTTTAAATAACTTGCAGCCGTAACTAAGACACAAAAATCTGCCTAAACAGAATTTCGTTCAACACGGAAATAGTCATTAAGCGCCACCTGCTGGCTGATTTGTGGCACCGATTTTAGAAAAGTTTAATTTTAGTTTATGAATTTAAACGAATAATTTCATTATTCGTTTCATAACTGTAAATTTGTCAGTGTTTATCATTGTTAGACATGTACTGTGATAAAAGGCTTTACAATCCATTTCTAAACTCAATAACTCTAAACCACATAGTTTTAATTTCATTGTTTTCATTTTTATATCTTAGTGTTTTTATATTTTTTGTAATGTGTTGATCTTGTTTTATTTTTCCCATGGCTGTAAAGTGTCCTTGGGTGTCAAGAAATGCGCTTTTAAATAAAATGAACTATTATTATTATAAATGTTTGTGTTTAGTTTTATGTAAAACAAAATAAAATACATTTAAAATATGACACACAAACCATTTGCTGACACAAAAAATCAGTAAACTTGAACTTAAAAATTCTGTCAGAAACATCAAAAATTTAAATTTATGGAAACTGAAATAATCTAAACCTGATGTTTGTTTTTGCCCTCGGGTTAAATGTTTATACAACTGAACAGATGTTTGATTTTTTTGTTTGTTCTAGTATTTTATAGTGTGATTCACTAGTTATGATTTTAAATTAATATAAGCCTAATTGATTATAAAATAATAATAGCCAATAATGATCATTTTTAACTCTCGGCTGTATCAAAATTTACATTTCCGCTACTTGAATGGATTCTTTGCTCCGTCTATAATCTGATTTTATTGGCACTTTTCTCTGTAACATGCATGATTTCTTTTCAGTACAGTTGCTAAACTTACACAGAATCATAGCTCTGAGCCATCTATTCCCTTAGCCCTCAGCAGCAATGACTTCATGGGATTTTTTACAAGTAAAATTAATTCTATTAGAAACTAAATCTTTTGCATCCTCCCTAATGCGACTTCTTCTTCCTCAGTAAGTGAGGCAGCATCAGAGGTAACTGTAGAACCTCATCTGTGCTTGAACCGTTTTGATCCAGTTGAGCTTTCAGAGTTATCAAAAATATTAGCTTCATCTAAACCTTCAACTTGCATTTTGGATCCAATCCCAACCAAATTATTTAAAGAAGCATTTCCTTTGGTTACTGCCCCCATTCTAGATATAATCAATCTATCCTTAGTAAATGGGTATGTACCACAAGATTTTAAGGTTGCTGTAATCAAACCTTCACTTAAAAAGCCTTCTCTGGATCCAGATGACCCAATGAATTATAGACCAATATCTAACCTTCCATTTTTATCCAAAGTCCTGGAGAAAATAGTGGCCATCCAAGTATGTGAGCATTTAAACACCAATGCTCTGTTTGAGGAATTTCAGTCTGGTTTTAGAGAGTATCACAGCACTGAAACTGCATTAGTGAGAGTTACAAATGATATCCTCATGGCCTCAGATAAAAATCTTGCGTCTGTTCTAGTCTTGTTAGATCTCAGTGCTGCCTTTGACACAGTAGATCACAATGTTCTTTTAGAAAGACTTGAACATGTTGTAGGGATCAAAGGAACAGCGTTAGGCTGGTTTAAACCCTACCTGTCTGACAGATTTCATTTTGTAAACGTACATGAGAAATCTTCTTCATACTCCAGGGTTACTTGCGGAGTACCACAGGGTTCAGTGCTTGGACCAATTCTTTTTACTATATATATGCTCCCAATTGGTAAAATCATTAGACAGCATGGGATAAACTTCCACTGTTATGCTGACGATACTCAGTTATATTTATCCATTAACCCTGATGAACCTAATCGGTTGGGTAGATTACAGGCTTGTCTTGAGGACATAAAAAATTGGATGACTCTAAACTTCTTGCTTTTAAATCAAGACAAGACGGAAGTTCTCATCTTTGGACCAGAAATCCAGAAAAGGAAATTGCTTAGCCAATCGCCTGACCTGAATGGCATTACATTACTCTCCGAGGACAAACTAAGGAACCTTGGTGTTATCTTTGACCAGGACATGTCATTCAAATCCCAGGTTAAACAGGTTTGTAGGATTTCCTTTTTCCACCTTCGGAATATTGCTAAGATTAGAAGCATACTTTCCAGGAGTGATGCTGAAAAACTAGTTCATGCATTTATTACATCAAGACTGGATTACTGTAGTCCATTACTCTCAGGAAGTCCACAGAATGTAGTTAAAAGTCTTCAGCTTGTCCAAAATGCTGCAGCTAGAGTTCTGATGAGAATTAAAAAGAGAGATCATATCTCTCCTGTCTCAGCTTCCCTACATTGGCTACCTGTTAAATTCAGAATAGATTTTAAGATCCTTCTTCTCACATATAAAGCTCTTAATAATCAAGCTCCATCATACATCAGTAATCTGATTGTTCCATATGTTCCTAACCGAGCACTTCGCTCTCAGACTGCAGGTCTACTGGTGGTTCTCAGAATATCTAAAATTAGGATAGGAGGCAGATATTTTAGTTATCAGGCTCCTCTCCTGTGGAACCAGCTCCCAGCTTTAGTCCATGAGGCAGACACCTTGTCTACTTTTAAGAATAGGCTTAAAACATTTTTATTTGATAGGGCCTATGGTTAAAATCTGATGTTAGCCTAAATCTGGAAAAGTGGGGGAGTAGAGGGAGGTGGAGTGTACAGTCGGTAAAGACGGCTCTCCCTTGCCCTGACTCCAACATGCCTACATCTAAATAGGATAGATTATCCAGAGTTATCTCTGTAGTTATGCTGCTATAGGCTTAGACTGCTGGAGGATACACTGACCACTTTCCACACTCTACTGCTTTCTTCTACAATCTGCTCTTTAACTGTATTATTTCCTGCTATTTCAGCTGTTAACTTTATTTTCTCTCTAAGTGTTTTTCTCCCCAGAAGAAGCTACAACGATGTTCTGCTGAGCTGTGGTGGCCTCATGGAGGGGGCCATCGTCTAGCACACTGCTGCTAACCACTTAAACATTCTCCCTCTCCTGATAATAACTTTTTGCTTTCCTTGACGTTGGATGTGCTACTACTAGTTTACCCGTTTAATTATAGATCCACTAGGATAAATACAATAAAACTTTATCTCTCACCAAATAGAATATTTACTAAGACATCACAATTTAACTAGACACATTACTTTGTCTTTGTGTGTGTGTGTGTGTGTGTGTCTTCTCCATCCCCAGTGAGTCGTGGAGGATGGCTGCTTATACTGAGCCAGGATCCTCTGGAGGTTTCTTCCTGTTAAAAGGGAGTTTTCCTCTCCACTGTCGCTGCATGCTTGCTTAGTATGAGGATTGCTGTATAGTCACTGGTACTAGTCAGTGACTTGATGTAATTTGCTGGGTTCCTTATATAGGAAACATTATTTCTGATTGGCTTAATGAACTGACCTGAATTGGAATGTTTATTATGTGAAGTGCCTTGAGACGACTCTTGTCGTGATTTGGCGCTTTATAAATAAACTTGAATTGAAATTGAATTACTGGGGACAGTGCATATTAATGAACTTCAGCAACAAATTGTATCAGTAAATATGCCAGATTGTAGCATCAGTGCTGACTTACGTCTGCAGTCCCTAAAAGTAGCAGAAAGCAAAGTTTTGTTTAAAACTAGGAAAACCAGAAAGGAAACGCGTCACTGTCAGGACAAACTACTGATGGACTCAGGTTTGGTTTTCCTTCAGCCGGAGTTTAAGTTGGAATGTGAAGGAATTCTCTTTCTTAGGCTGTTCCAATATTTTGTCCCATTAATGATAGTGCGGTGTGCCCGAAAGCAGTGTGCCTGTGAGGCCCCTCACAGTCTCCTCTAACTGTGGCCCTGGTGGACGTTCCACTTGTAGACGTGATTTAATCCAATCTGTCAGAGGGAGGAGCTCGTCCATGTAAACCTTAAAAACCAGGCAAGCATTCCTAAGATGAAGAAGTCGACATGTCTCTAAAACTGAGCAGTGGTGGAAACTAAACGATGTTACTGAGGACTTTTCATAAGAACCTCATGCTGCCTGTGACGTGCTTCAGTTGCTGCTCACTGGTGAATTCATCACTCATGATGAAGATAAACCGTTAAGAAGGCAGAAACACATCTGTAGGTGAGTCTGTGGCAGCTGTTAGACAGAACCTGGTTCTGGTTGGAGTCGGACACGAGCAGAGCAGGAATACCCGAGGAAGGGCGGAAAAGAACATTTCGTTTGATCCAAAAGATCTCCAGAAGAACAAAGAAACCTCCAGAAAATTATTCATAACGGAAAAAATAAAAAGGTTTTCATTGAGCACAAAAATAATTATCTGTATGGGAAAAAACTTGGATTTTCAAAATAAAACCACAAGACTTTATTTAAAAAGGTTAGTTAAAGCACAGCGTTGAATAAAAAATAATACAGATTTTTTAAAATCATCTACAAGAATAAACTTGTTAAAAATGTTTGGTTTTACTGAACCCTCTGTAAGCACCAGAATCACCCCGGAACGTCACCGCGGGCAACAGAACAGGAGTTATTTTTGTTTTGTACACAAGTCAAAATTAGGTCAAGAGTCAACATCTTACACTGCTTTCACATCCGGGTCGGTAGTCTGGTTCGGGACCAGAATTTGGTTTCACACCAGGGTCACATACGCATTTTACATTCTGAGGTGACTCTTTTTCAGACCTCTTCCTCAGAGGTCCGACTGGGATTGGGGGGCTACGGACTTGTCTGTGCGTTTTGAACGCTGTCCACGCGCTCGGGGGTTTCTGCCTTCCTGAGAACTCCTGTGGTCTGATGAGCTGTTTAAAACTAGCGGCACCAACAGCATGCCGCACAAGCCCCCCCCCACCCCCACCCCCCGGTTGTTTAACTCACATGTTCCCAAACCCAGAAATGACCAGTAGGCGGAGCTTGGGACTGTCACTGGTTTGTTCATGAATATAATAACTACGTCTAATAGGCAGCAGAAACTTCGGCGGTTCTCTCAGCTTTGGTCTTTAGACTCTCAGCTCGTCGTCGCTTCTCCCACGATGGAGGTTACGTCTTTTTCTCTTCAAGTCTCCGATTCCTGGTGATCTCGTTTAGTTTCTTCATTCTTCTTCAGGAGAGTCGGGTCCTTGGTTAGAACGTCCTGGGTGGCACAGATGAACACAGACGTGGTTATGAATCTGCCCTTTGCCAACGACAGGTGGTTCTCTGCGACCACCTGCCATTGACAATGGGGGGTCTTGTAGCGTCATCAAGGTTCTCTAATTTGTGGCAAAGGTCACATTTACCCAGCTGGGTCAAGCTGGGTCAGGCTGTAACTTTTACGTCCACAGATTAACCCAGGAGTCATGATGTCTGAAGAACATATCTGCTGCTGCTCCGTCCCAGAAGGACACTTCAAGTTCACGATAATAATTAAATAATATTAATAAACTCTTTGATTTTATTACTGTTTATTATAATCATCATAAATAATCACTTGGTTCAGTATAAATGTATTTTAATTACTGAAATGACTTATTATGCTTTGGGTATAATAATGATTACTATGGTCGATGATCAGTAATGTGTGTTCCAGCAAATCAGAAGGTCAGCTCCATCTTATCCATCTAACACAGAGTTTATCCAGGCTAAAGGGTAACTGCCATCAGTTTTTGACGCATGACCAAAGCCTTCTTGCTGAGAGTGGGAGTGTTCTGAGGTCTTTGTAAACCAACCTGCAACAGCTTTCACGCCAGTTCTTGAACCAACACCATCGAGGAGACGGGCCGGCCGCCCTGATCCTCTGCCAAGCTGTTCTGTCACGCCGATAAGAACAGCTAAGAATAAACGTAAACTGTAACCAGCTGACGAAAACTCCTTCCAGAAGTTACTGATTTCTGAGTTAAGACGAGAAACTCCTTCAGAGTTACGGACTTTGAGACGCCAATAGTTTCATCAGTCGTGTGACCCACGGAGACAACCCAGGACTGATTTGGTCGCATCGAGGTCCTTCTACCACCCTCGTGCCCGGAGGAAATCATCTCCACCTGACATCTCGGATCCAAAAAGGGGGTCTCTGGAAACCGGGTGAGGTAGACACTTTCGACAGATGACGTTTGATGCTGTTCTCTAAGTAAACAACTCAGTTAGCTGCAAAACATCATTTCCAGCCAGAACGCGTTCCTCTCTCTGAAAGAAATCTGAGAATTCCAGTCACGCATCCAAACTCGTACTTTCATTCAGCTTTCATCCAGCCACAGGTTTGCTTTTAAAATAAGTTTAATATCAAAGCTGTTAAAAATTGTCATTTATAATTGTCGTTCAAATCTTAGTTTAAAAATTGTTAGTAATAAAATTCTTCATTTTTAAACTTGCCTCATTATTGAAATGAAACACAGAAAGGTATAATTATTTCTGGTTATTGAAAAGCAAAGATCCCTAGCTTCTGATTCAAAGATAAACTTTTGTTATTAAATTTAATTATCTTATTAAACATTAATCTTTGGATTAAAAATAGACCAAACGGGTTGGTGCATGAACTTAGATCGATGATACAAGGATGTTTAGATATGATCTGAGCTTCATGGATTAATCTGCTTGGTCCTTCTCAGAATCTAAACCGAATAGCAAGTTTTGATTCTAGTGTGTAGATTAACCCTACACTTGTGATGAAAAGTCCACGACTGATCAAGTACAAACCTTAGTGAAAACACCAACAGAGGGTTAGAAAAGGTAGAGCTAGAGGCAGAAGAAGACAAAAACGATGTCTTGCTGCGTTGCTGCAGACGACGTCGCTGGTTGAACTTCCATCTTTGACCTTTATTTGGCCTTTTGAGCATCTGTGAGGAAACAGGAGGGACAGTTTTAGGTTTTTATTATAAAAATACATAAAAACAAATATAAGCAGCATAAATATTCTGATTCTTTTATTAAGGGAGGATTAATAATCGGAAGGTTGCAGGTTCGAGTCCCGCTCAGTCTGTCGCTGTCGTTGTGTCCTTGGGCAAGACACTTAACCCTTGGCAGCCTCGCCTCTGTCAGTGCGCCCCAGGGCAGCTGTGGCTACATCGTAGCTCATCCCCACCAGGGTGTGAATGTGTGTGTTGTAAAGCGCCTGGGGGGTTCCAGGATTCTAGAAGGCGCTATATCAAATTCAGGCCATTAAATGTGCACTTCTTATCGTTCATCTCTGCAAATATTCATTAAAATGTTGTTGAAAATCAATGAAATGATGCCCAGTTGTCTTCGTAACATACAACCATAAAATACACGGCAGCAGGTCTGAGTCTCAGCGCGGCGCCACGTTTCCTTCTACGGGAGCCCTTGAGGACAAAATGCATTTACTGATTTGTAACTTGTGGTTACTAAACTTTCACCGTTCACAAAGGTTGTTTTACACGTTCACCCCTTCACTCGTTGCCACTGATGAAAGGGAGTCTGATGTACTTGTCATTCTGCTGAAGGTTGCACTGCCCAGGGCTTTTGGACAACCTTACAACCTGGTCCCTCCAACACAAAAATACAGCTTGCTCACAACAATTTAGGCATCACTGCCCCTATCGGCAGGAAAACACACACACCGTCACGTTAAGGGTGACTTTATGTGACGCAGCGCAGCCACAAAAACACACCAGTCTGCAGCAGCAGGAAGCCGATGTCATCAGGCTGTTTCAGGAGGAGGAGCCTCCTGTGAGGTCATCAGGAGCGCTTTATTCATGCTAATCTCACTGATGCTAAATAGACCATCCCCGCTGGACTGTTGCTGGGATCTTTCCCACCATGGACGACCAACAGAAGCAGCTGCTGCCCCATCGCTCCTGCAGCACACGTCAAAAGCTGCTGATGCAGAAGAGTGTCCTCTAGCGTGTGGGACGGCAGCAGAGGTCCAGGCAGACGTCTCGGATAAAGCTCCCACAGCAAAGTAAGATCAGCTCAGGGATGCTGCAGCCGCTCAGGATCAAAGATCCTTCATAACAAGCTAGGAGTCGCTGAAGCCCCGCCCCCAGGAGGGATGAGATTTACCTTATTAATCCCAGATTTGGGAAGATGAACTCCAGAAGGCTGACAAAAAGGGGAATTTCATACAGTACCACATCTAAAGGTGCAGTTAGGGCATTTTTATTCTTTTATAGCTTTATGTCGCTCTCTAAGAACTTAAATATATAAAAGATGTTTTTACTCTTATATTCTTGACATTTCCTCTGAGGGATTTTAACTCACACGTTTACATTTAGATAAACGTCATGTGCTCTTCTGCTTTACTACAGCCGCTGCACACGCTCCTGCAGCTCCTCCGTCGTCCAGCAGAGGGCAGCAGCTAACTCTCAGGTAAGCTTCACCTGTTTGTTTTCCTCGGATCAAAAAAGAAGTTTGAGTCTTTTAAACAAAATAAGTTCATGTAACTAAATATTATTTAGTTTAACATTTTAAATGTTATTATAATCTCAAATTTCAGGTGAAAAACTACAGTTCAGACTGAAGCTCACCAGCGTTACCATGACAACAGTTTCATTTTAACCCCAGTGTCTAAATTATTTTACTTTTAGAGACATAATTACAGCTTTAATACTAATAAAAACTCCTGAACATCACCGAGTTTTTATTTTTAATTTAATTAGCAGTTTATACAATTTTATAGAGTTGACCTTATATATATATATATATTTATTAGGGCCGGGACTTTAACGCGTTAATTACGATTAATTAATTAGAAAAAAATAACGCGTTAAAAAATTAACGCATTTAATCGCAGCTTGCATTTCAAGCACGGCGGAACCTTTGTCATTGCACGACTTCCTCGTAGACTGAATATCACTGACGCACACAACAATGCACAGTGCTAATGGCTACTAACGATATATAAAAACAGAAAGAAGTTGCCTTGCTTGGACTGATGCAGGATTTAGGAAACACGTCCGCCTCTTTTCTTAACTTGGAAAAAATAACTTCCAGACAACAACGGAGTCCGTGTCGCGGACATTTTTCCGGGGTCGTCTCTGCTTCGGCTGCCCGGTGGCACCGGAAACTTTACAAAAGTAGCGGTAAGCTATATTTTTAACATTTACGTAACATCTGTGCAGCGCTGAAAGCACCAGACAGAATAATTCTGTGCCCTAACAGTAGTTTATGAAAGTAGTCAGACAAACGAGAGGCACCTGGCTGCCACTGGGAGAACGCTCCGTGTTCTCACTACTCTGTAAACAATCATAAGCAACGCGTCTTAAAGTTGAAAACAGAAGTTTAAGTTAAAACAGAAACACTCTGAAACTTTTCTGATGATTTTCTAAACAATTCTGTCGGGGAGTTATACGTTTCTGAGACGAGTCTCTGTCTAACATCATCACATGCATTACAATCATTAAGCAGCGAGGTGTGTTGAAGCTGTCATCAGCTAAGGGGCGGATGCTTAAGTGCATCAGGGGCAGCGAGGAATGAGGAAGTTGTGATCAGGCTGGAGATCACACCAGATTCGCTGCTGCAGGCGTGAATCTGCGGGTCTGCAGCATCCCCTTCTTAACGTGACATCAGGACTTCCCATGTAAGGAAGGTCCGCTCACCTGTTCGTCAGATCATTATTTCCTCGCCATGATCTTTTATCTTCCCATCATCCTCCAGTCATCCAACTGGAACCAGTTAGTGTTCCTGATCATTCTCAGAATATGTCACGCCTGCTCTGGTGTTAAAAGTTAGTACATTTAAGTCCTAGATCATATTTGTGCCTGTTCTACTGTCATTTTGAAGGATTACTATTTATGTGTTTTTACTACATTATGAGTAGAAATGCTAATAAAAACTCCCAATTATACAAACAAGTGAAACTGGAAAAATTAGAATCTGGTGCAAAGTCAAATATATTTCAGTCATTCATCTAGACAGAGAGACTATTTAAAGGCTCAGGAACCCTTTGCAGGCGTTTTCTATTTGTATTGTAATTATAAATTTTAGTTGATTTGGGTTTTGTTTCATATCACACAGTGACATTTGATTAATTAAAATACATTTTTTTATTAAAAGCTTTAGTTTACAGTAATAACCATGTCTAATGTTTGATTCTCTATAATTTTAATTAAAAGTTGTACTTTGAGAGCACATTCTCCTGAACGATTAAAATGTGATTAATTTAGATTAATTAATTACAAAGCCTGTAATTAATTAGATTAAAATTTTTAATCAAGTCCCAGCCCTAATATTTACCTTATATTCATGACTGTTAATTACATTTGTCCCTGAAGTTTTCCTCCCCAGCAGCCGGACGCAGGCTTTAAAACTGACCTCCTCACAGCTTTACAGGGAAATTGTGCAACAAAGAAAAAAGAGTGAATAAAAACTATTCTGAAAATAAAGTTCAATTATTTTAAGAGTCATAAAAAGATAAAAATTAATAAATTTTGATTAAATAAACACAAATGAAGGACGATCTGAACTTTCTGGATAAAGTTTGATCTAAAAGCTGATTGTGACACTCAGAGTGAGAAAAGAAGAACTTTCATAACAACGTTCCTACTTACAGGAAGCAGGAAGTGGAGCGAAAAACTTCCCTCTCCTGAGTAAAAACTCAGGAGAGGGATTAAAAACCAGAGAAAACTAGATGAGCTGATTATGGAAGCAGGAAACCAGATATTACTTTCAAAATAAAACAGGAAGTAGAAGAAGAAAAACAAGATGGTTCTGTCTGAGAGATCTGTTTAAAGTAAAAATGTAATAAAATGAAATGGATCTCTGATCTGAACCGTCTGGTTTCTGGGACCTACCTCGTCCACGGGGAGCAGCTCACACCGTCTGGAGAGAAGGAGCCACCCGGACAGTCTTCACACACCGTGTCGTTTCTGCTGGTTCCTGCAGAGAAACGAGAAGCTCTCCTCTTAAATCCAACAGCAGCAGACTCTAAATCACTCTGACTTCCGCTGTCTCACCTGGTTGTTTTATTCTCTGTCCGTGTTGACAGGCTGAATGTTTCTCTGCCAAACTACATCCTGTTTCTGACCGGGTTCTGCAGAAAAACCCGTCTAAAACACCACAAACCGAGTCAGATGTTGCTGAGCACCTCTGCCGGGTGAGCAGACCCAAACCTACAACATACAACCAGAGCGTGTTGGTTTCCACCCACTGCTGTGTTCGGTGTGTGTTTAGGTGGCGGTGGCGTACCCGGATCACAGGAAGTGCACGAGAAACACTTGGTCATCCCGTTTGGTCGGTTCATGAAAGTCCCCGTCTCACAGGGCCCACAGCGCGTTCCAGAATCCACCGTACAGTCTCGGACAACGACCGTTCCTGTTCAACACAACCAGCTAGTCGTTTCAGATCATCATGAGCTCACTCAGCAGCGCAGATACCAGCTCAGCGGTTCAAGTCACCCATTCATCCTCTAACCCTCTAGGACCAGAGCAGAGCTCCTTCATACCTCTGGGAGATCCGGCTGGGTCTCCTCCTGGTGTCAGAACCTGAGCCACAAACCAAAGACCTTCTGAGGGTCTGATGAACCCCTCCGGTGGTTCAGATGTTTAACCAGATCTGCTCGCTCTGATCGTGTTGATGGAAGGAAAACAGGTGAGTTGATGCCGAGTCGTTCGAGTGAGAGGCTTGTTGTCGGAGCAGCAGAGGGACGCTCCTGAAGCCTCGCTCTCATCTATGGAGCTGCGTTTAATCCCAATCCGATCAGATTAAACCAGCTCACATTATTATCAGGTCATTTTAACAGTTGGGTTTTTATATTTTAACTCGAAGTACAAAAGGTGAAACTTCACATCTTTGTGCTTTCGACTTTTCTCAATAACGAAAACTCAAACCTGAACCTGTTTTGGGTCAAAGCTAAACAACAATCCAGACACACTTCTGGTCCTGATCTTTACTTTACAGGATCGACACGATTTAACCCGGCCAAGCGAGCTGATGCTGACGTAAAGAGCGTGAACGCCCCCCAGTGGAAACCAGCAGAATGGGGTTGGGGTGGAGGGGGCGAGCTCCAATCCGGCCCACTAAAACGGCTGCACCCATGTCTCCGCTTCCTTCTCTCTGCGGCGTCCCGCCGACTCCAGCAGGACTTTGAGACTCGACGAGCTACAAAGCGTGAGGCTTCAGAGGAACCAGGAAGGAGGAGACGGCAGACGTCTGACTCAGATCAAAGAAACCCGAAGGAGGTAAAAGCCTCGGAGGAAGTTAGCAGAGGTGCTGAAACGCTTCACGTGCTCCCGACGCGCGTGGGTTCCTGTCCATGTTAGTTTTGATGTCCTTGTTGTTTCACTACTTACTGTTTAACCGGCTTTTTATCACTACTCTGTTCCTAAATGAGGAGTTATGTCGAGATCGTCTGAGTTTAACACTGAAGCGAGTTCCTGAAAGTAGGAATATTTACACAAAATAATCAAACTTCCAGGATCTGAAGCTCCTGATTTATGGGTTCAGGTGTGTCTGATGTTCTGCCAGCAGCATGCTTGTTCCGCTGAGGTGAACAAAAATAACAGGCTGAGTTAAAGGAGGAACTACGGCAGCCTGTTAGGGTCACTGAGGAGAACAAGGAGGACGTTTAGAGGTTAAAGTTTAAAAGGTGGTGATTATTCCATGTCCATCCCAAGCCCTTCAGGAGGGTATTCCAGAAAGTGAGATTTTCCCAAAACCAGGCTTTTCCCGGTGTAACTGCCCTTAAATCGGTTCTACCAACACGGCTAGCCTGAAGCCCCTCCCCATCACCATGGTAACACGCTGGGGAACAAACCTGCTCCGCGGAAGGCTAGCAGCTAGGCTAGCAGCTAGGGCTTAATGAAGTTTGGGGAATATGATTGGACGAGGCAAGTGACGTGACCTTTTTCTTGTGGGTGGCTGGCAGCTAGGAGGTGGTGAATCAGCGCCCCCGCTGGCCCACAGCGGTAGCAGCAGCTTTGTTCTTAACGGCTAAATAATTAATAAATGTGGAGTTTAAACTTTTAAACATGAGCTGTGACTGGATTTACATCTTTGTTGTGTTTAATCTTCATTTGCAGCCAGGAGCGTCTGACTCCACTGATGTCAGCATTATTAATAAGTATAATTATACCAGCTTTAGTCTGGGACGGCCCGTATCATCAACACGCTGCCTCTTCATGTTAAACAGCCTTACACTAGCTTACAGCTGCTACCGTAATACACATAAGAGGAGATACTTTATTAGTGTGACTACACATTTACTCCGGTCACACGAGTCAAACACGCTAACATCTGATATCGTGATGTTTGTTCCTCGGCGAGTAATGAGAGCTAAACGGTTTACAGTGTTAACTTTAGGGTCATGTGACCTTGGTATCATGTGACCAGCTGCTCAGCAGAAACAAAGTCCTCCAGTCTCTAAACACACAGACTCTGGAGCAGAGCATGAACACCACATAAATGGTCTGCCTACGCTCCTCGCTTGGATTAGAGAGGATCAAATCCACCCGAGGTTCGTGGAGCCAGCGAAACCACCCAGAACTTCAGGTTCTGGGTGGTTTCGCTGAGTAAACAATAGATCTTTTCAGAGGCAGCGTCTACAGCAGAACGTTAGTAACAAAACTGTTTAGTAATATTGACTACCAGCAATATTCAACCAGTTGTTGGTTTCAGATGTTTGGAGGTCCGTGTGTGATGGAGACTCTTATTGTGAAGGGTTAAAGGAAGTACTTTAAGTTCCACAGCTGCAGAAAACCTTGTTTTATAGTAAAAAGTCTCATTTTTATTTTATTTTACTCAGTAAAACACTCAGAACAGCTGTTATATAAATAATAAAACAGAACACCTGCTCCTGAAAGGACCTACTGTTATATTTCTACAATAGTATTTAAGCCTTTTAAAAATACTTTTGTGAACTGTATATATTTAAACCATTTGTCCAGAACATTTAGTTTAATCCCTAAAGTTTACCTTTGCCGTTTCCTCAGGGGCAAAACGCTGCCATAGGCTAAGAGGAGACACGCATCCTGAAGGTCACTGGGGTCCTGCAGTGAACTGGTGGATTTCAGCTGAATCATGTTCAAAGTAATACTTGTTGAATAGATTTAATGTGTTTTTATAACCACTCCTTTGGTTTCTGGGGACCAGCGAGGTTTCCTGCTGTGCGGTCTGGTGACAGTAGGCCTAAACGCAACAGCATCATAGAGAGTATCAGGTATCAAACACAGGTGGAGGTGGGAGCAGGTTTGTGTTGTGGGCGGGAAATTTACACAAAAGATTAGCTTCTATAAATGGCTGCGTCACTTCTCCAGGATCCGAAATGGCCGCATTTTCATTGTTTTTCTTTCTTTTACTACCTTCATGACACTCCGGGCAGCACTGTCCGAGGCTCGTTCTGTACTCCTGAGCTCCACAACACGAAGCTGGACCCGCGAACACTGGGCCAGTCGGAACAAAGGTTCGGTCAGAAAACAGGAACTTTTCTCAGGTTGATCAAATGTACTTCCGGTAGCGAGCTTACCGAGGACCAGCAGCAGCAGATAAATCATTATACTACATACTGATGACTCACAAGGATCGTGTTTAGTTCTCACAACTTCGAATCTTCTCATGGATAAACAACACGAAACATGGCGGTCTGGAATTTTTCTTTATTTATTTGTGGTTTTGAGCTTGACGTCTACACAGCAGCTGCAGCATATCACCAAAGCTCTGCTTTTATTGGTGGATGGGAGAGTTCAAAGTTCATTATTAACAACTGTTATTGGCACATAACATATCACATGACTGCATACGTCATTTCCTCTATCCGTGTTTTCCAAAATAAGAGTCTCATGTAATACATTAACACATCAGAGCACATATCTCAACATTTTTTTTACAATGTAATGTGATTGATGTTCACTAATAAAAACAAATCTCAACATTTTTTTCCGGGTATAACTTTTTTTATTAGTGAACATTAATCACATTACATTGTAACAACAACCAAAACTCAACAACAACAACAACAACAACAAAAGAACAGCTCAGTAGATAAACCAAAACCTTATAACTAGACCATTAGAAATATTCTAATCAGCAGAAACAACCGGATTTATAAGATTAACAAGACACGATAAATAAATAAATACAATATTAATATTAATACTACTAATAATAACCCAATAATAATAATACATATTTAAAGACAGAGGACCTTAGTTCACAGGATCTTCACTAAATCTGACAAGTGTAACAGCCTGTACAGTCTTTACTTTTTTATAAGAGATTTGCAAAATAGAATAAAATCGTTTTGGAAAAAAGGAAAGTTTGGCTTCACTTTCATAAAACGGCATTTGTGAATCAAAAATTTCCCATTTCCCATTTTGTTAACAACGAATTGAATCTGATTATTTTTTCTATACACCCAAATTGAATAGTATTATATGTGAATATAAAAGCCAATTATATAAATCTGACCAAAATGTATTTACCGATTTGCAATCATAGAAAAGGTGTTTCTGAGTTTCAATTTCACTATTACATAGGACACATAAATTATCTTGTATATTAAATCTGATATTTAAGAATTCTTTACATGGATATATATTATTAATCGTTTTAAAGTGAACTTCCTTCATTTTGGGGAGAAGAGGATAAGAAAGAAACTCTGTTCTTATGCCTTTGGTATCTTTAATTGAGAGAATCGGAGAAAGAACTTCCCTTCTGACAGGAATAGGGAATAACTTGTCTGACAAGACTGCTCTTAGGCAAGAGTTATTACATTTACGGTCTGTAAAACTCAAATCACCTATAGATAATTTAGGAAGCTTAGGTGTATTTGTTCCATGTTGAACACTTTGACTGACCATCTGGCCAACAGCTGGAGAGATAGCCTTTATAACTCTAGAGTATTCCAATACAGAACAGTCTATATTATACTTAATTTTGAACTCAGTATGCTCCAGAAACTTACCCGTACTGTCCTTCAGCTGCATTATGGCCCAAACTCCTTCGTCCATCCAACTTTTATAATACATGGATTTCCGTTTATACAGAACACATCTGTTATTGCATATAGAGGAGGAATGTGGGCTAAAGTTGTGCGAGTAGATCATTTTCCAGTACATCAACACTTGTTTAAGATAGTTAGAAAGTTTGATGGGTAATTTAAGAGGATCAAAATCACATTTTAACAGAAAATCTATGCCTCCAATCTTCTCAAACAGAAATGAAGGAATACAAAACCAGATAGAATCTTTCTTAATTAAAATTTTTTTAGCCCTTGTAATTTAATAACTCCATTCATTACTTCAAAGTCCATAACATTCAGACCTCCTTCTTCTAAAGGTTTTACTAGATCGTTTTTCCTAATCAAATGTTGTTTATTATTCCAAATAAAATCATATTGTGTTTTATTTATTCTCTTAACATATTGGTCAGGGATAGCTACTGAAATAGCCGGATAGATTAATCTAGATATACTCTCCATTTTTGTTAAGAGTATTCTACCAAAACTTGATATATTTCTATGGAGCCAACTATTTAGAATCTTTTGATTTTTATTAATTATCGGTTGGATATTGTTATCCACTCTCTCCTTAAAGATTTTATTAATCTTCATACCCAAATACTTAATTTCATTCTTAATAGGGATATCGCAAACATGAAACTCTTCAGTATCATGAATTGTTAATATTTCACATTTGTTAGCGTTCAACCTTAAACCTGAGGCTTGTGAGAACAGAGACAGCGTTGTCATGGCATTAGGAATTTCCTTGGTACTATTCAACAATAATGCAGTATCATCTGCTAGTTGAATTATTTTAAGCGAGTGTCCTGCCGCTGTTAACGGTTTAATTGATTGGTCATTTTGAATTAGTAAAGTCAGCATTTCTGTTGCTATAATAAAAAGAAGTGAACTAATAGGATCTCCTTGTCTAACTCCTCAATTAACTGGAAATCTGGCTGTCGTACCCGAAGAAAGAAGAACTGCACTCG